GGGCCCGGGCTGGGGATTCGAACCCACCACCTTAGGTGTATGTGGCTGGTGCCTTAGCCACTTGAGCCACAGGCGCTGAGCCAGATGTTAATATTTTAAAAGGTTGAGAAAAGCACCTGTGGCTTAGTGGGTACGGAGCTGGCCCCATATACTGACAGTGGAGGGTTCAAACCCGACCCTGGTCAAACTACAACAAAAATATAGCCAGGCGTTGTGGCGGGCACCTGTAGTCCCAGCTACTCAGGAGGCTGAGGCAAGAGAATCACCTAAGCCCAAGAGCTGGAGGTTGCTGTGAGCTGTGATGCCAAGAGCAATAAAGTGAGACTCTGTCTCTACAAAAAAAAAAAGGTCAAGAAAAAATAATTCTGACTAATTTTGCATCACACAAGGAATATAAAATGGGAAATTATGTTAAGCATTAGAAAAAAACTGAAAATACAAAAATCTAAGTATTTGTAGTAACATATTAACAATTTGGTAATTTTGATAAATGAACATGGGGACTCCTGACATCTAATGATAACTAAAATAGCATTGACATTCATTATGTATCACATAAAAGGAATGTAAAATAAAGTCATCTTAGCACTTTGGGGGACCAAGGTTTGGATCACATGAGACCAGGAATTTGGGACGAGCCTGGACAAAATGGAGAGACAAGACTATACACAAAATTTTTTTTTTAAATTAGGTGGCTATCTGGGGACCAGGTACAATGGCTCACACCTATAATCCCAGCACTCTGGGAGGCCAAGGCAGGTGGGTTGCCTGAGCTCACAGGTTTGAGACCAACCTGAGCCAGAGCAAGACCTCGTATCTAAAAATAGCCGGGCATTGTGGCAGGCGCCTACAGTCCTAGCTACTTGGGAGGCTGAGGCAACAGAGTCGCTTGAGCCCAAGAGTTTGAGGTAGCTGTGAGCTAAGACACCAGAGCACTCTTCTGAGGGTGACCAAGTGAAACTCTGTCTCAATTAAAAAAAAAAAAAAAAAATTCAAAGGTAAGAAACAATATTTTAATTAAGTAGAGGGAAAAAACTGCAGATAGCTTAAACATCTATTATTAGGAAAATGCTTTGGTTATAGTGTATGTCCCTTAAATAGACTATCATATAGCTACTTTGAAATATTTTCAATAAATGGGTCTCCAATCAAAATTATATATATAATATTTAACTATTGGAAAAATGTACTTAAGATAAAAACTAGAAGGCAGGGCAGCGCCTGTGGCTCAAAGGAGTAGGGCACATATGGGAGGTGGCAGGTTCAAATCCGGCCCAGGCAAAAAACTGCAAAAAACAAACAAACAAAAAAACTAGAAGGCAACAGATCAAAAAGTTAATTGTTGCAGGCCAGGTGCGGTGGCTCACACCTGTAATGCTAGCACTTTGGGAGGCCAAGGCAGGTGGATTACATGGCTCCAGAGTTCAAGACCAGCCTGAACAAGAGTGAGACTCCATCTCTACTAAAAATAGAAAAACTAGCCAGGCATGGTGGGGCATACTTGTAGTCCCAGCTACTTAGGAGGCTGAGGCAAGAGGATTGCTTGAACCTAGGAGTTTGAGGTTGCTGTGAGCTACAATGACACCAAGGCACTCTACCTGGGGCAATAGTGAGACTCAGTCTCAAAAGAAAAAGAAAAAGGTAATTGCTGCTTCTGGTTAATAAGATTATAGGTTTTTTTTCACACTCCTTTTTATATTTTTCTATGCTTTTTGAAAATTTGTTCTAAATGTTACTCTAAAGATTCTGGTTTTTTTTTTTTTT